TGTGAGTGTGTTGGGGGTGGGGGAGCACAGACCTTTTGCAGAAGAAGCTAGTGCTCAACTACAAAGGAAGGAAAAGGAACCCAGCATGTGAGTCTTAGGTGCCACAAAGGTCTCAGAGTAGAGGTCTTCCAACATGTTTCCAGATGTGTTTCCAGAACATGGCATAGTTCGTGACAACATTAGCTATCTGACAGGGCATACAAGAAAGATCAGTATTTCTCAAAGCTCAGCAACTCATGTTGTCATTCATCATTATTGGCATGCTCACGTAATGTTCTCTACTGTTTATTGTTTCAGCTCTCCTTTTTTAAAATAATGTGTGCATGTATGTATTAGCACGTGTGTTTCTGTGTGGGGGTGCACAGGCATGTGTGCTCTCCTATGCATGCACACGTGAAAGCCAGATATATATTGGGATTTTGTGTGTGTGCATGTCAATTAATTTTTCCAAACCTGACTTTATTGAGACAGGGTCTCTGGGAACACGGACCTCACCATTTTGTCTAGACTGGTTGGCTAGTGATCATAGTTATATGCCTTTCAGTGTCTACCAGAGCTAGGGTTCCAGAAAGTACAACTGAGCCCTGCTTTAAGAAGTCCTGGGGATCCAACTGAGATTCTTATGTTTGCATAGAAAATGTTTTACCTACTGAGTCATTTTTTTCCAGCCCCCACCATGTTTTTTGTATTAAGACATTAATAGTTCTATAAATGGAAAAACAGTACTTTCTTAATATGCACTAATACAAATATGTACTTTTAAGAATAACTATATTTCCCCATGTAAGCCACTTAAGATGAGTCTTAGATGGCCAGAGTACTAAATCAACCATAGGCAATACTTTCTCTTGAGGCCCGTTAGTACAGGAAATAAAACGGCCCCATCACCATTTTGAGGCCAATTTTTCTGAATACCTTGACAATTCACTCACTAATGGTAAATCATGATATTTTTACAAAATTATCTGTCATTTTATTATTATTTTTTGAAGTTGTGGTTTGGTTTGCCTACTTTAAAAATGCATGCATTAAAAAACGTGATTAATAAATGGCTTCTGAAAAGCATGACTTGGCTATAGTTTGGTGTGGTGGGGAGGGAGAGTTGGTAAGTTGCTTTTAAGGAGGTATCATTGCTGGTTGACTATAAAATAGGGATCAATTTGCATTTGCTTAGTTTAGGAAGAGCGATCTAGATTGTTTAAAGTTTTCTGTTTATTTTTGACATATTTACTATCAGCCTCTCTTATTGTTAAGTCTGCTTTTTATTGGATACAGTTGGGCATCATGAACCTCTAAAAAGATCCTTTTTTATACACAGCACCACAAGGGTGTACTATTAAATATATTACAAGTACTAAGTTCCTGCCCCCTGGGATACCAAAATTGACAGGGTATTTTTTTTTTAATATTCTTTAAACATGTTTTTCATTATGGCCCTTTTTTCCCCAGTAACCCACAAATGAGGGGGTCTCATAGTTAAGCCTTTTTCCATTATTTTTCCAGAAAGCCTTCTGTCCCCACACAGGTTCCCTATACAGCTCAGGGACTGGGTATTTCATTTTTTCCTACAAACTGTTGTTTTTCTTGTGGTTGGTTCCTCTGCACATTATCTTTGCTGGTCCCTGGGTGAACTCTGCCTATCTGAACATTTCTCTTGTATGATTACAAAAGTGGTACTCTACACAGTATTTTGCAATTGTGTACACTAAGCATATATTTGGTCTTTATTTCATTTCATGTCTTGGCACTCAACTCCTAAAATACATGGGATCTCTAAAATGTTGGGTCTTCCTGTGTCTTTACCAAATGACAGATAGCTTTTAAGTAATCTCTGAATGGGGGCTGCTATCAGGAGAACCAATTGACATATTAGATAGTTGAAACTGTTCTTCCTCACCCCAAATCTGGAGAGGAGAGAGGTACTAAAGGCTGAGGTGATCGTAACTGGCCCATGACTCAATCTGTTGTGCCTATGGAATGAGGCCGCCTTTAAAAAGCCCTGCGAGGCACAGCTGTCAAGAACACTCAAGACTGCTGAACATAAGTCAGAGGGCATTAAGGGGGCAACACACATGGAGAGAGGCAGAAAGGCTGGACCTTCCTCATACCTGTCTGAGCACCTCTCCCAAATCTGGCTGCTATCTGTATCCTTCTCAATATAAGACAAGTGTTTCCCTGAGTTCTCGGAGATTCTCTAGGAATTAATTGAACCTGATAAAAGGCTTGTCTGAACCCTGCTTTAGAGTTGGCTTGTCAGAAGAATAGATTATCAGGACAAGAAAGTATAAAAAAGATAAAAGTCATAAAATCAGAATCCAGAAACACATACAGCTGGACAAGATGCATATGAAATGAAGATTGGGTAGTCAGAGAGTGACGGTGGCAAAAGGTGAACTCAGGATGCTAGGTCATAGCATGGTGATAGGGACTTAGCAAAGATATTGAGAGCTGCTGGAACAGAATTTAAGTCATAGGAATCCTCCTTGAAATACATATCTCTGTATGCTTCCTAGCTCAAGTAAAATATCCCACTTCATTTATGAAACCCATATATATATATGTATATGTATACATATATATATATGCACACCCCAACTTATCTAATATAAAGTCTTAACTGTCAAAATAAATGCATTCTAGGATATTCTAACCACTAGTTGATGACTCTACACATTTATATAAGAGTTATAAAAATAAAAGTTAAAGCTTATTTTATTTTATATTATTATTCAACCAAACTGGCAAGTTTCTATGTCAGAGCACATTTTCATATTTCCCTGGTTCAGCTTTAAACTTGAATTTCCAATATAATGTGTTACCCAATTTTAGTTGAGAAAACTAAACATTTAAGCCCTTGCTGGACTGCATATGTATCTTCATTAGTTAATGCAGACAGAATAGATTTCCCATAGATGCTTAAGATACAAAGTTAGTATCTTTCTAAGTCATTGGAGTTAGAGGGTCCTGGTTACACATGAATTGTTTAATCTTCAAAGAGTGATCTTAACTTTGAGTTTCAATGTCAAAAGCTCTAATATAATTCCCATGCTTTAAAACACAGTGGATTTTATTTTCAAAGATAAAATGCCTAATTGTGAATAATGAGAGCGATGGGATAATAAAATCTGGTTATGATGATCTCATAACCAGATCAGTATACAAAGGTAAAGGGAGAACAAACATATATAAACATACTATATGAACAGCTTCTTTGGAGAAGTTTTCAGACTTCATAATGAGTATTTTATACTTGCCCTTTTCTTTTTTTCTTTTACATATTGATCCCAGTTCCCTCTCCCTCCCTCTTCCCCTCTCTACTACCCTGTCATCCCCCCCTCGACCACCCTGCATCCACCACTCCACATGTAGTATGATGCCTTCCAGTCAGGGTCATCTAAATCTTTCAAGTCATTTGGAGTAGGGACTATGCCTTCTCTCCTGTCTCTAGGTTAAGGGAGTATCCCTCCATGGGGGATGTGCTCCCAAAATCCTTTTGTGCACCAGGGATATATCCTGGTTTCACTGTCTGAGGTTCCTTAGACTGCTCAGGCCTTCTAGCTGAGACCCCTGTTCAGGGGTTCTGAGTCGGTCTAATGCTGGATTCCCAGTTATCAGTCTGAGGGCCCATTTGCTCCTCCTTGTTCAGGTCAGCTGTCTCTATGTGTTTCTGTAGCCTGCTCTTGTCCTCCCTCTCTGCATCTGGATTCCAGTTCAGCTCAGTGTTTAGTTGTGGGTGTTTGGTTCTGTTTCCATCAGCTACTAGATGAGGGCTCTATGATGGTGGATAAGTTAGTCACCAATCTCATTATCAGGGAAGAGTATTTAAGGTAGCCTTTCCACTGTTGCTCAAATTGTTAGTTGGGGTCAGTCTTGTAGGTCTCTGGACATTTATCTAGGTTCAGTTTTCTCTTCAAACCTATAATGGCTCCCTCTTTTATGGTCTCTCTCTCTCTCTCTCTCTCTCTCTCTCTCTCTCTCTCTCTCTCTCTCTCTCTCTCTCTCTTCTCTCATCTATTCCTCCCCTGACTCAACCTTCCTAGTCCCATGTGCTTTCCTCTCCTCCCTTTCTCTTTCTCCTAGTTCTCTCTCCACTCACTGCCCTCCCACTCCCCATATGCTCAGGAGATCTTGTCACTTTCCCCTTCTGTGAGGGACCTTATATGAATCTATTAGAATCCTCCATGTATCCTAGTTTCTCTGGCAATGTGAATTATAGGCTGGTGATACTTTGCTCTATGTCTAAAATCCATATATGAGTGAGTACATACCATATTCCTAATAAGTATTTTATACTTGCCTTATTTAGAAATTTTAGAGTTTGCAAAATTTTTGAATTATTTAAGTAAGTAGAAAAACAGTTCCATAAAGACAGACAAGGGTGTCAAGCTCCTCACAGCAGCAGGACTCCTAGACTTCACTAGCCATGTATGTCTAACTAATAACTCTGCCTTGTATGTCTAACTAATAGTGATTTGGAACCAACAATTCCAAATGTATTTCTAAATTCCAGAGTGAACATCTGAATTTAAGAAAATGGTGCTAGATGGCCACATGAGAATCAACCAGTGCCAAGTGAGTGTTTGATGTCAAAACTTCATGAGCTATCTGTACCCAACTTCACTAGCTCTGTGACAGCAAGAGGAAAGCCCTCCAAGCAGAGTGATAGAACATTAAAGGAAATATTACCAGAGCTGTGTCAAACATCTTTCTCCTGTTCGTTCTGGCTTCGAGGAAATTGAGAGGACATGAAAGGTCATTAAGATGAGGGATCTCTGCAAACTGGCAGAGTAAAGTCCACAAAGCAAGAGGCTCCATCTGATGCTTGGTCGTGTCATTGAGGAGGTAGCCCCCTTTCATGAGAACGTTTTCTTGAACCCTCCGACAACTCTTGAAAAGGAGCTGGTTGTATAGGAAGAATGTTATGTTCTATTTAGTTCTCATGTTCTGTAACCCACAAATGGAGAACTGGAGATTAGTTTTAGAAAACAATAGCTCATCTGCCATCTAATTCTTGATTGTGGCATATGTGTGTTTGTGTGTGTGTATGTGTGTGTATAATTTGTATGTAATACATAAATAAGAGTTTTATATACATTTATATTACATAATTAAGAATTACATATATTTTTATATTTGGGTTTTTTTTTAAAACAAACAAACAAAAAACCATTTTTGAGACAGAGTCTCACTATGTATTCCAGGCTGGCCTCTGTATTGAGCACTAACTAGTATCACAAAAATACGCCATCACACCCAGCTACAAACATAAGGTTTTAGAGCCCATTCCCTACATTGGGGTGCCATGCTTAGCCTTAATGCATGGGAGTGGAGGTTGGCCCTGCCCCAACCTACTGTGTTAGACTTTGTTGACTCCTCATGGGAGCATTTACCCATGAGGAAGAGTGGACTAGGAATGGGCTGGGGAGAGGCAGGGAGGGGCAGGAAGAAGGGTGGGAGGGAGAACTGTAGTTGGAATGTAAAAATGAAATTTAAAAGAATAATTATATAAAAACCTAAGTTTCCAGTTGCCTATATAATTTTTCAGTGACTTACATTCCCTCATGGGTTAGCTGTTACCTGTGGTGATTCTGATTATCTTGGACAGTCAGTTTGCCAACCCTACAAGGTCAGCTTGTACTGACTTGACATTAGAAAATGGATACCATAAACATCTTTAAGTTTCTTTGGCTTTCTGCCTACATTTTCATCCACATTGCAGGTGAGCCCACCTCTCTCTGCAGTCTAAGCTCATTCTCCCAAATCACCTGCTACAGAAGTAACCACTTAATTCTATGCCACTAACGATGGCCTCTTTTTCTTCTTCCCTCCCAACTATCTTAGCTCATAGACATGGCTTACAGTGTTTCATTAATGGGATATGAAATAAACCAACAAAAAACGAGTTTCCCTATATTCCCTACATACACTTCCATTTTTTCTTAATCTTTCAGAAAGATTGTGTATTTCTCTTTGAACTTTCTAGAAAGATCACTTAAGCCTTCTCTACCTCTTACTCATACTCAGGGTACTTTCTTGTATGCTCAGTCCCCACCCCCACCACACACAGTCTACTGAAACTAACTCTGGCTAAAGTCATCTTTCAATTTATATGTATAGTGAATAAGCTGGCATTTTTCTAGCCATTTCACTTTGCAAATTATTTTTTTTGTTTTTGTTTCTGCATGTGCATGCATATGCTGTGTGTGTGTGTGTGTGTGTGTGTGTGTGTCTATGTGTCTATGTGAAGGTAACACACGTAATGTATGTGGATGTGTGTGCTTCCATGTGTGGGCCAAAGGTTGTACTTGAGTATCTTCCTCCATCTCTCTCTTTTTACCTTATTTTCTGAGGTAGTGTCTCTCCCAGTACCTCAAAATTGCCTTTTTGGCTAAATCTAGCTAGTTTGCTCTAGAATATCGTTACCTTGGCCTCTGAAGGACTAGGATTTCTGGTTCAGATTTCAGGTGGGCTGCCATGCCCATGTGGCTTTCTCCTGAGTCCCAAGGACATAAAAATCTGGTTATCATGCTTGCATGACAAGTACTTTATATGCCATATTCCCAACACTGATTTTGCAAATTCCTCTTTCACCATACAAAGAAAGCCATGATAAAGGATGACCCATTCCGGTCATCATGGCATCTCAGGAACAGCCAGGCTGTCTCTCTGTTAACCAAACAAGTTAGGGCCAGTTCTCTTGGTAACTGCTGAGCCATTTAAACAAACTAGGCCCATCACTGTTTCCATCCTCTCAGTGCCAAACTATGGAGATCCTTGCCTGCCTTTGTGTGCTGAAGGGCTTGTAACACCCTCTAACATCAGTGTAGCTCATTCCCAACTTTCTCCTTCATCTCACACTTGTCTTCTTGAGTTTTTCCATGGCTTTTTCAATTGCTCTTCAATTTCAATCTCATCTCTGAAATTCTCCTGCCTCTTGGTCTTAATTGAAGTCTAGCTTACCACTCAGAATCTTGCTTCCCTTTAGTCCTCTCAAATCAAGTTTGTCGTTTCAACTGTGAAGATTGGGGCTGGGAGGAGGCTCCGCTTCTTCCTTATTTCTCATTTCCACTTTCTGTGCAATGCTCCTCTACCACTGGATACAAAACGCCTCCTTCACAGTCCCTTTCAGAGTCTGTTCCTGCTTAGTTTGCTTCTACCCTCTCCAGGCACTTAACAGAAAGTCTCTAGCATAGAAGCAATACATTTCTTTCTTTCTCTCAACGATCTCCGTCTTTTTACTCTACTCTTGTTGACAAAGGTGCATACCACAGAAAACTACTGATCTACTGAAGATGAGAGGCACCTAAAAGATACCTTGTCCTAACTCATGGGTTGATGCTCAACCTATGCTCTGTGTGGGTAAAATCAGAAAGGGCAGCGTGTCTGCACATAGGCAATTAACATGCCAATGTTTTCTTTTCATTTGCTGATGCAACATACTGAAGCAATCGCTCATTGACAATGTTCACAAACACACCAAACTCTGTTTCACTCATTTACTAGATTTATTGTTATATAAAGTCATATCTCAAGTCATTATTACCTAAATATATATATCTCTTTCTTCATTTCTAATCAAATAAATATATATTATCTACATTATATTTTCTTTATTGTTCTTTTTCAAGTCTCAACAGCCAGCCAGAATACAAAAATGATGCTCTTTCCTCCTTAATCTGTGCAGAACAGGCATGATAACGTTAGACACACCTTTGCCTGAGCAATGGTTTCCATGATTAAACTTCTGCCTACTCTCTTGACTGGAGTTTTGTAACTCTTCTTTTGTACTCTGTCTACCTGGAACTGCCTATAATTTCTTGTGTACACCTTGATGATTCACCTTTTCACATTCCTCAATGAGTTAGCTCATGGAGCGTTTGTAAGCCCTGATGTTATCTTTAGCTTCCTCAGTCCCCTATGGAAGCATACCCATTCTGAAAGCTGATAGCCATTCCCCATACCAAAGACATCAAGTGCTGCTCCCTCCCCTATGAGATTTCTGCACTGCCCTCTTCAGTGAGAATGAACTGAACTTATACCAAATGGGTGTTTACACAATGGTTTTTTTTTTTTTTTCTTTTCTAAGACAGAATGAAGTCTTATTTCTCTTGCTGTTTCTAGCACAGGAAGAATGAAAATGTCCCTTTTAGGCTCATGCATCTGGACATATGGCCCTCAGTTGGTGGTGCTGTTTGGGGAGGTTATGGACTCTTTAAAGAGGTGCTTCACAATCTGTAGGTCATGACCCCTTTGGGGGGTGTTGAATTATCCTTTCACAGCGGTTGCTTTAGACCATCTGAAAACACAGATCATGATTAATAACTAGCAAAATTATAGTTATGAAGTAGCAATGAAATAATTGTATGGTTGTGGGTCACCTCAACATGAATTGTATGAAAGCATCACAGTGTCATGAAGGTTGAGAACCAATGCTTTAGGAGGTACACCTTTGATGGAAGAAGTACATAACCGAGGATGGGCTTGGGAGTTCACAGCTTAGCCCTATTTTCTGCTTGTTCTCTCTGCTTCCTGTCTGTGGATGTAATATGATCAGCCAGCTTCCTGCTCCTGCTTAAGCCATGCCTTTCTAGTTACTATGAACTTTAGCCCTCTGGAACCATAAGCCAAAATAAACTCTTGTATTCTTAACTTGCTTTTAGTCATGGCGCTTATTCTAGCAACAGCAAGAAACTAATGCAAAGACATTTAATACATATGAAAAGGAAAAAATAATTTTTGAAATTTAATTTGAAAGAATATCTATATATATTTATAAAATTTAAGAGATACAGAAACCTGCTTAATATTTAAATCTTATAAAAGGACAGGTTGGCTTTATTCATTAACAATAAGAGAAACAGATTTACAGAATCACATCTCCCATCATCTCATTTTTCCTGTCTAAAATAAAAAGGATTTTTAACTTTAACATAGGAAAATATATTTAAAAAACAGTTATCAAATAAGAACTATAGTTAACACTATTTAGTCCATTAGCATTTAGCAAGATTTAAAGAAAATATTCCATCATCTATCCTATAATTGTGAGTCTAAAGTCTTATATGTAACTTATCTTTAATCCTAACTTTTGTTTCTAATTCTGTTTGATTCATCAAATTTTAGAGACCACAGTCTTCAGTAATCTTTTACATAATAGAGAATGCTAAGAATGCTTCCTAATTAAGTTTATACATGATTTATTATGTTGCTAATTTTCTGATGATAATATTCTAATCCTTTTGAAAAGTAAGCCAAAGCTAGGCACATGGGGAATATATATGTTTCTCATATCAAACACTGCAGTAACCAATATAATGAATGACAAATATTACAAGATTCCCAGCACATAAACAGATATATGTGCTGTGTTTTCTTAACTAATTGATGAGGAAAGAATCAAGTATCAAGCCTACTAACCACCAACACTGAATTTTGATTTCTTCATCCATAGAAATCTCAAAGAGTCATGGATAGCAACAACCCAACTATATATATAATATCTGAGCTTTGGGACAAGAACACATATTAGATACCACTAATTTATAATAATTGCATACATATTTTCTCCTTCCTATAACTCTCAACTTGACCCACTCATTCATATACATTCAGGCTTGCATATTTCATATTTCATCAGGAGAAACAAAGGCAAAATCATCACATTTAGATGTTGCTCATTTTCATGAGATCATCACAGTCTGAAATAAGTGTTCCTTTTTCAGTTACCCGAGTTTACAAAAGGGGAATACAGATGTTTAAGATATGTGTGTCAGTCATGTCTTCCCAATAAAATGGAACATCATGACCTATATTCCCCAATATTCTCAGTTCTTAGGATTACAGGGTGTTAGCAACATGTTAGGAAGACATGAGTTGCCCTGAAGCACAATATCTGAGCATGGTGGGCTCCATTCCCTAAGCCCACAGTCACCAGCTGGGAGATCAGGTTTAAATGCCCTGAAGTTTAATTTCTATACCAATCAACTGTGTCAGCTATCATCTGAACTTGCTGGCTGCAAAGTGCCTGTTATGCAGAAATCCACTTCTGTTGCTAATAAGCATGTGTTCCTTAATTGATAAGCTGGATTCAAAGAAGATCTGTACTTACTGCCCACCATTACTTTCACAGACTTGTCTGTTTTACAGCTACATAGGCAGGTATTTCAGAATATAAGAAATTAAAACTGAAATCAGAAGGCTTTTTAGTCCATTTTGCTAATTAATATGTCAGAGCTCGTAAAGAAGAAGTCTCTGACTTTCTCAGTACTGCATCATCTTAAAGAGCTGGGTCAGCAAAGATCCCTGCAGACAGTCAATACATATTAAAACAGTGCCAAGCAGTAAATCTAAACAACAGAAAAAGAAGATGACACAGTAGGAAAAAAAAGGAAGCAAAATTTATAAGCTCCTTCGTACCGAATACAAGAGGAACACTAAACTATTGGTTGAGGTTCAATATATAGACAGGGAAGAAGGAAGAAGTATCACATATATCTTTTATCGCTGAGTATACTCAAAATTAAAGCAAAAATTTTAAATATCAAGTGCCAAGTTGATTTAAGTTTCTCTGGATTCTAAGGGTCCTTCAGAATACTGAAGTCATCTTCAAATTGGTTATTCAATACTAAGTGGCCAGCACTAAAAACATCTATGTATATATATGTACAAGTAACATTATATAGACTTAGTAGGTTGCAATTATGTTTCTAGAAACACACACACACACACACACACACACACACACACACACGTAAACAATTAAAGAAAATGGGACCATGAACTTGAGAGAGCATAGAGGGTCGAAATGAAAGAGGTTAGTGATGTAATAACATCTTAATTTCAAAAAATAAAAAATGGTTTAAAAAATGAGTTTTCTTGTTTAAATACATTTTCTGTCTTGGCTTTTTAGGGTATGAATTTTGTTCAATTAGTAGGTTGGGAAAAAACGTTAAAATATTTTTCAAGGCTCACAAAAACTTGTGCTGTTTTCTTAAAGGAGCTAAACAAAGGGTATTTTACTTCTAATGTCTCTGGGTGGGTCTGACCATTCTGCAGACACAAAGACCTCCCTTCCATGGAGAAGATTCCACAAGATTACAGACCTCACCGAGGTAAGGGGATAGAATGCACCTGCACTTAGGCAAAGCTCATGCAGTTGTTATGGGAATCTCAACAATAACGCATTGATTCCAGAAGGGTTGAAGGGAGCCACCATTTTGAGCCAAAAATTACAGAAAGATTTATCTTACCTGGGTCTTTGATATAAGTTTAGCCTTGAGACATTAACCACTTAAAGATTAAGCCAAGGAAAGGGTGCCAAAAATCTTGTCACAAAATTGGGATGCACCCAAGCCAGACCAGCAGATGGAACTTGGCATACAATGCTTCTCTACTCACTAAGAAGCTGACTCAGAAGAAAGCTCAACTGGAATGAATTTATTAAATGTTGAATATCTCCCAAATAAGATGGATGGTAGACTTAAGTCAGCATATACAATTTAATTTACTTTCACTTCCTGATAGTCTTGGATAATGTTAAAGCTGTCCACCTTTCTGGAATTAAAGAGAAAGGTTCTCTTATGCAAAAAAGATGCTGATCTATTAAGTATTCCAAAGACAGGATTTGGGGAAGGAAAAAAAATCATATTTCAAGAAAACTTCAAGGTATCACTTGAATATTTCCAAAAGTATGATCCTGGTCCCTCAGGAAATTTGCCTGACAGTTTTGCCACAGAGCCCCCCCTTTTTTTTCTTTTTTCTTCTTCTTCTTTTCTCCTTGTATCTTATCTGTCTAGCTATATATAATTTATTATTTGTTGTAAATTTTGTAAATGATTTAACTGAAAGAAGTTGTCAGAATTAAAGGAACCCTTAAACCTTTGTTACTATCATATTACCACCACCTCCATCACAAATATCCCATGAGAAATCCCTCTATATCAGTGGTTCTCAACCTACCTAATGTTGCAACCCTTTATTACAGTTCCCCATGTTGTGGTGACACCCAACCATAAAATTATTTTTGTTGCTACTTCATAACTGTAATTTTGCTAGTTATGAATTGTAATGTAAATATCTGATATTCAGGATATTTGATATGCATGTGACCCCTGTGAAAGGGTTGCTCAACCCCCAGAAGAGTTGAGAACCAGTGCTATATGAATACAGAATACATTTGGGAGCTGAGTTTTATCTGAGAGATGGATGTCTGGAGAAAATCATATTTAAGGTTAATTTTCAAAGCACATATGTAAAAAAACTGGTAGAAGGTACATTCTTAGAGCATATCCATTATAAACTTAGTCACATATTTTCTCTAAGGATGCTCTGTAATTTTTCATGTGTCTCTAATGTTGTATAGTATATACTTGTTCACTGTAACAATCAGTATATAATTATAGGTGTTTGTTTAGCCCTCTTCATTTCATGTCATGTTTGCTCTAAAGTTATCACATTTCTTACTTGCCTTAATCTTTAAGTGGTTGATGTCTCGCGCAAATTGAATCAAAGGCCTAGGTAAGATAAAGTTATTTTTTTTCACATTTATGTAGATTCAACAAATTTTCAACAATAAATTCTCTGATGTAGTGATTATGTAGGTCTCAAGATATAAGAACAATGACTGTGGGTGGAAGGGATTACATATTAGTAACAAATCTATATGTCATTTAGTATATTTTAACATTATGTTTCTTAAGATATAAAGCTTGCTGGTACTATTTCCATCTGTTACCTGAGGTAAAGTTATCATGCAGAGTTTTACAAGATATCTATCTGCCAGCTATGAAATCCTGCCAACTATTCAAAATCTGTAAGTTCATTATTTCAAATTTTGTAGAGTAGTTCTTCATAAATATTTGTATCACATTAGATAAAAGCCAACATTTAAACTTAACTAAAATATTATAGCAATAAGCTAAGATGATATTCTCAGTTCAAAAGAGTAACAGTCACTTTTGATTACCAGCAAAGGATGATTTTTTTTAAACTAAGATTAAAATAAGATTGGAATTTTTGAAAATAACCAGAAAGCTTATTATTTTCTTATTTCTACAAACCTAGTTTATGAGCATTCTTAATAACCACATAAACAGAATGTTTTTTGTTCATAGTGTCTAACTATTTAGGCTCTTTATTGGGAAGAATGGAAGGAAGAACCTAAGAGTTGTGAACCAGCTGTTGTTTCCTGCTGCAGTCATTAGAAAATCTAAAGAAGGAGAAAAAGAAAGAATACCATAATCTTGCCCTGGGACATGACAGAGTTAATGAGCCTTAATGCCACTTCCTTGTGGAAAGGTAATTGGTGCACAAACACAGTGACAGGAAAGAATTCTTTGTTTCATCATGGGAGGAATGCCAACCACAGCCCCTCTGTAGAGTGGTACATCTGAGTCAAATGGGAATTTTTCTACAAATGAGGCACCCCTACAGGTAGGGAATTACTACAGGATTTGAGATCTTAGTAACTTTATGTGTCTGCAAATAATAGGCATGGATGACACTGTTGGAAGAACAGAGGGAAATAGAAAGCCAGTTCCAAGGACAGAAGAGAGGGCAAGGCCATTAGGAAGAGAAAGGAAGGCTTGGGATTGATACACAAATGTAGTGAGATAGTTCTGTGGCACTGACCACGCCCATTGGGGGGTGGAGCCATGGGCGGAGTGACTTGTGGAAGGAGTCTCTTTCTGACTCAGACAGGAGAGGATCGGGTTGAATTTCCTGGTGTTCATCTGTCTAGGTTGTAAGTTATTTCTCCCTGAATAAACATCTATTCGGCCTATTTGTTTATCCTGATCCTTATTTACCGCGATACACAAAGGCACTCATTGGGGTACAATAAGACATAGAAGATTCTAAGGAGCCTGGTGACTTCTTAGAGGATAGCATAGGGACTCATTCGGGAGGAAGAAGAGGGATAACATAGCCATCTCTGGCACAGCCCCTTCTGGTGACAGGCAACATTATACATGCCTATTTTTCCCTCATGAGAAATGACCACATCTTCCTTTGATATTCTCTGTCTCTGAATTTTAATGTGAAAGTTCTGTAGGAAAATTTTACAATTTTCTGAGCTTTCCTTTTCAATGTTTTTGTTTCTTAAAAGTGTTTATACTTCACATAGGTTTAAGGTTTTTGGTTTTATGATGATTATTTTGGAAACCTTTCTTCCCTTCTCTTGAACATTTAGAGTCAGCATGCATTATGCCATTATGCACAGAGCCAAGCGATAATTCATCTTTGTGGAAAACAGAGACAACTCATCTATTAATTAGAAAGCCTTTCCCTGGCTAGTGTATAGAAACAGGGTCCAAATGCTACTAACACACAGCCAGCGATTTCCAGGAAGAGAAAGCCAGTTACAAGGAATTTCTTACCCGATCTGCGATCAGCCAATGACTGGACTTTGCTTTCATCTGGCACTGAGGAGAAGAAATGAAAGAGATGAGAATTAGACCTTCCTATAAATCAGGCATTTTAAAACCATAAATTAGTATAGATTCATAACAAATTAAATATTTTACTGACAAATATTTGAGGTTGGTTTTTCTTCCAGCCTACCCTGAGGTGCCTCCATTATATCCATAGACTTTTTATAGTCAGTCATGAAAAGCTATGTTTATTAAACCTTCTATGAATGTAACACTTATAAAAAGTTTTCAGTTCATGCAATTCTTTTAACTGGGTACTTTCCTTGCTGTATGTTACAGAAGAACTAAATTCAAGGGTCTTGGGACATATAATGGATAATAAAGCTCCTTGAGCATTAAAGCAATATATATGTACATTTTCAAGACTCAAAGACCAGCCTTCTATAGCTGGCCAAAACAGAGACAGAAAAAAAAGGAAAGATTTTTATGAAGAAATGACAAAATCTGTAATAATAACATTCAACAAAAGAGATACTAGGTCACAAAGGACTGACTTACAAAGATGGAAAACAAATATAGTCAAAACCATGATCACCCCCACTTTCAGTCTAGACAGCTTCCTGGAGACTAAGCAGAAAGGGTACATGGAAGACTCTATTGGAGTCCCTTGCAATAAAGGCATGCTTGCTATATGATATTCATGGAAGTCAATACATATGAAGTTTGTAAAGCACAGAACCAGCTTACTATTTTTTCCAATATCTTCAGAGACGACCGACCCCTATATCCCTATGTCCTAAGAAACCAATAGCAAATAGAAAGATAACAACATTTGTAGTTCACAGAGAGAGTAAAACAATGTCCAATCCTAACAGTTGCACTGTTGAGCTTCATAGTGCAGGGGTTCACCTAGAAATGATGACTCAATACAATAGTATGGAAGAATTGTGTCAAGATTCATACATCTCTCAGGCAATGAAAGGCACAGGCATAAAAACATAGAAAACTTAAAAACAGGAAAAAAAATCATATGTATGGCCTAAAAGTTAAATTTTAAAATGAATTTTAAAATGAATTTTAAAAGACCACTCTAAGACTGAGTGACATCACAGGTGAATTTTTATCAAATATTGAAATAAATACTATGGATTCTACAAAAACCCTACTAAAAAACACAGAGAAAGGATTTCCACTTTGTCACATAGGCTCATTGTAAAAACTGATAGATCATGAAAATACAGAATGTGAAAACCACTAATCAATAAATCCCCTGCACATAGGTATAGAGTTCCTAAACAACACTCTATGGATAACTACATGAATATCCAGCCACTGCTATGCCTTTGTTTGCCATTTACTAATGCCCATGATGGCCTATAAACCTCTGGTACTCAAGGATTGGAAATACATTGAGGGGAAATGTGAAAACCAGGAAGACTGCCTACATCTTTCCTAAGGACGCTGTCTCTTCCCTCTGCCTACTCAGTCACCTGTAACTGACCCAGTAACCACACATAACCAGTCATGCCCCTGCATTCCTTCCTGGCTATTTCTTTTGTTGGAATTAAAATTACTGCATGCCTCTGGTTCTCCTGTTCTCAACTGCCTTAGTATCTTGTCAGACTTTTGGTTGCATTTATAGTTGGGTGGTAAGTCAAACAGCACTTATAAGGCACTGGTGGCCAAGTTCTTTCCTTCTTGTGTCTAAAAATATATACAGTTAAATCTACAGCATAAGTAGAAAAATATTGCAAATCAACTATGTTGATAATTAAATATAACAGTAGCTGGTATTGCTAAGCTCTTGTAATACATGGGTTCTACCCTATGCATTTTACATCTGTTTAATTATTTTAACTTTCATAACAGTCTGGGAAGACAAGTACTATATCTTCAAGTCTTGGTGGCCTGCATCTCATTAGCTGAAAGAGCAGAGATTAAGTGACAGTCTTAGTTGTTCCTTTGTCTCTATGGCAATCACAGAAGATTTTCTAGCTGAGGAATTTTAAGAACAAATAATGACACAAATTAAATACAGGACAACATTTCAATAATTATGTGCTAAGAAATCAGCAGTCTTCTTATTTGAATTTATGACATTAGATAGAAATCTGGGTCAGGAATGGAGTGCACGCTTGTCATCCTAGAACTTTTCAGATGTAGGCAGTATTATCTGGAAAAGTTTAAGGCTGTCTTGGGCTACACAGCAAGAATATGTCAAAAATATTTCTGCAGACTAGTATAAATGATGTTGGCTATAATTTTGATTAGCATGTTTGGACACGTAAAGTTCAAATGTATTCAAACTATACTATTTCTTCTCATTTAACATGAGAAGTCATCCTCAGAGTTAGGAACCTGGCTTGGAAACTTGACAAGTTTTGCTCCATTATTAAAATTTTTAGAGTTATTTCAGGAAGTGTCTTTTTTTTGTATTTTTAAAAATTATTATTTCTTTTTGGTTTCAAATGTTTTAATTTTTTAATTTTTTTTATTTTACATGTCGATCTCAGTTCCCTTTCCCTCCCTCCCTCCCTCTCTCTCTCCCTCCCTTCCTCTTATCCTCTCTCTCCTCTCACATTCACCCTGACCACCCTCCGCTTCCATTCCCCCACCCCCATTCCACATGTAGGGCTATGCCATCCAGGTGGGGTCATGTAGATCTGTCAAGTCATTTGAAGTAGGGATTAGAATGTCTCTCCTGTCTCTAGGTCAAGGGAGCATCCCTCCATGGGGAATGTGTTCACAAGGTCCTTTTGTGCACCAGGAATACATCCTGATTTCACTGTCTGAGGTCCCTTAGACTGCTCAGTCCTTCTAGCTGAGACCCATATTCAGGGGCTCTGAGTCAGTCCCATGCTGGATTCCCAGCTATCACTCTGGGGGCCCATCAGCTCCTTCTTGTTCAGGTCAGCTGTCTCTATGTGGTTCTGCAACCTGGTCTTGTCCTCTCCCTCTGCATCTGGATTTCAGTTTGACTCAGTGTCCAGTTATGGGTGTCTGCCTCTGCCTCCAACAGGCACTAGATGAGGGCTCCATGATGGTGAATAAGTTAGTCGTTGATCTCACTATCAGGGAAGGGCATTCATGGTAGCCTTTGCACAGTTGCCATAATTGTTTGTTGGAGTCAGTCCTGTAGGTTTCTAGACATTTCTTTAGGTTCAGTTTTCTCTTCAAACCAACAATGGCTCCCTCTTTTATGTTCTCTCTCTCTCTCTCTCTCTCTCTCTCTCTCTCTCTCTCTCTCTCTCTCTCTCTCTCTCCTCATCTCTTCTCTCTTCTATTCCTACCCTGACTCAATCTTCCTAGGACCCTGTCCTCCCCTTCTCTTTCTCCTAGTTCTCTCTCCATTCATTGCCCCCCACCAACTGTCTTAAAAATCACTTTAACTTTGTTCACACCAGTTTCACTACTATGAAATGAGTGAAATGTTGGCACCCCACAGAATTGTGGTAAGCATGGAAGAAATAAGTGCTACCAAGCACATGCTAAGTGCTTGGAAGATCACATGGTAACCACATACAATACCTTAGCTACGGTCATCATTCATGACATACTAAACAGAAAGGCAGAACAGAATGACCAGTGGTAACTGCACAGATGGAGCTAAGCTGCCTTTGTGACCAGGAGAATTACTACACTCCTATCACCTCCCGTTTTTCCCATGTTAAGAATGGGGATACAAGCAGCACACAGGAAATTATGGGAGATAAAATTTAAAATGAAACATTTCTCAGCACACATCCAGGTAAACATTCTCCATACTTAAAACTCTTGAGAAGTGGGAGCGGTGAGAGTGGTGATAGATGAATTTGGTCTTAAAGGTGCTGACAGTTTTACATCCTCAGGACCATAAAGAAATACAGAAAGAGTACGTGAGAACGTCACACCTTAGCAGGACATCAGGTACTTTTCACATGTTACCAGAAAGATAAACAGCCAGTATGGACATTCCTCTCCTGTGCATCTGACTGTAGCTTATTTTGCTTTGGAAGATGTGCATGGAAAACACAGTTGAATAAATGTGTTACCATGAATGGCTGGCTATTCTAAAAACGGTATTTCTAGGAAGGCAAATAGGAAGGCAAAGCTTTCGATGCTGCCAAGCTTCTGTATTTGAGGGTTACTCTTTTATTTTTCAAATCTAAGTAAATTTCCTAGTCACATTAGGTTTTATATGGAATTTCTTAACTTTTTGGATGAATGTCTATATTATCCCTAGGAGGAACACTTATCATTATTTTAATAATTGACAAGTTGAAATTCTTTAGAACACTAAAATAAACTATTTTTTTTTTAAACTGTGGAAAATCCAAATGGGTGATAGGCATAAAAATTAGGGGTCTTTCTCCAAAATATTCCCTGGCACAGATGCCTATCTTTAGGACCAATGACAATTGAACAAACATAAAGAAAAAGAGAGGGTGCAGTAATGACTTAATTAATAGAACACATTTTATTTAAAAGGTTAAATTTGGAACAATCTTCTTTTATGCACATGCTTAGTGCTGGGAAGCAATTTAAATAACAGTGGCAAATGAGAAAATGAGGTAAAATTACACACACCACCAATTTTTTAAACAGCAAGTATTATAATTAATACTCAACTTCCTTTATAACCTCCATCACCTTAGAATGACTGTTAGTTATCTCTCGGGGCTGGTACTTCAACATAGTTGTTTCGTTGCATTATATTGAGATAGTGCAGTGACTGAAATTGTCAGAACATGGTTCATGACAGGTCTTTATTTTTAATGTGAGGCTTATATAAGAAATGGAAAGCTGGTTGTGCCTCTCCTGGGGAAGGTCTCCTATTCCAAGAATCCCAAGAGAGTGAAGAACACAAAGCATCATGGAAGAGTGCTGATAGAGGAAGAGCCTTGAGGTTTTCCATTCTGGTTCTAGTGGAAGATTGTTTCACTTTTCTTCCTTTACAAAGTTTCTAGAGTTTATTCCATTCTCCTTCGTAATCTTCAGTTTTACACAAGGACCACAACTATTTGCTCTTGGGTATATTAAAGGAATGTTCTAGCAGTTGAAAAGATAAGAGT